AAAATTCAGGATTTATACCTTTGGACTATAAAAAACCATCAGAAGAAGCATTAATCCAATATGCCAGCGATTTTTACCAAAGAATGAAGGGCAGGAGATCAGTCAGGCATTTTTCTGACAAAGAAGTACCAGAGGAAGTCATAAATAACATCATCATGACAGCAGCATCAGCACCTTCAGGAGCACATAAACAGCCATGGACATTTTGTGTTATCAAGGATCCTGCCTTGAAGGCGAAGATCAGAGTTGCAGCCGAGAAGGAAGAATATGAAAACTATCACGGCAGGATGTCTGAAGAGTGGCTCAAGGATCTGGAAAAGTTTGAAACTGACTGGAAAAAGGAGTTTCTGACTACTGCACCATGCCTGATGGTGATCTTCAAAAAGGCTTATGATCTGGAAGATGATGGTTCAAAATCCAAAAACTACTATGTATCAGAATCTGTAGGCATCGCTGCCGGGTTTTTGATAGCTGCTATCCACATGGCAGGTTTGGTTACCTTGACCCATACACCAAGTCCTATGAATTTTTTGAAGGAAATTCTGGGCAGACCTGATAACGAAAAGCCCTTTTTGCTGCTTCCTGTTGGCTATCCTGCGGATGAAGTTCTCATTCCGGATATCAGTAGAAAAAAAATAAACGAAGTTTTGGTTTGGTATTAGAGAAATTTGCAAAACAATTGCTACGATTTTGTGTTTGAAAATCATTCATTCAAAAAATAAAAATAGAAGATATGGCTTTTACACTTCCTGCTTTAGGATACAATTATGATGCGCTAGAGCCGCATTTTGATGCGAGAACGATGGAAATTCATCACACAAAACATCATCAGGCATATATTACCAACCTGAACAATGCTGTTACCGGCACGGCTCTGGAAAACCAGGACCTTGACACTATACTTAAAGGACTTGATATGAACAATATGCCCGTACGTAACAATGGTGGTGGTCACTGGAATCATTCGCTTTTTTGGGAAATTTTAAACCCCGAAAACAGAGGTAGACTTTCCGGTCCGTTGGCTGATGCCATAGATGCTGCCTATGGAAGCAAGGAGACTTTTATGGAGAAGTTTGGAGCTGCTGCGATGCCTAATATCATCAAAGGCAAAGATGACTTTTGAATCTCTGGACGTGAATTATGGCACCATTGAACACAATGCTGATCCTGTAAGAATCGTAAAATTCACTAACACAGGTACTGAACCACTTATCATCAATAACGCAACCAGTTCTTGCGGATGTACAGTACCAAAATGGCCTACCGAACCAATAGCACCTGGTCAAAGCGCAAGTCTTGAAGTAAGATATGCTACTGACAGAGTTGGTAGAATCAGTAAATCTATAACAGTTAGAACGAATGCAGGTGATCACACTTTACAGGTAATAGGAGAAGTTCTTCCTAAAAAAGAAGAAGTTCCGGTTCCTGCTGCTCAACCTAATATCATCAAAGGCAATTAATATTTCTACCTAAAAAGTAGTTTAAAATATAAAGGTTTCAATGCTGCATTGGAACCTTTTTTATTTTAGAGCATCTTTAAATTTTTATTTCCTTAAAATAATACCTAAATATCTATAATGAGTTCCGTTATGAGGATCAAAAGTACAATAAAATAAGCATTTTTGACGATAAATCATACTGTGTGCAGCTTTAACTGTAGCATCGCTTCAGCAGAGCTGCACACGGTATGGTGCATGACTGAACGGTGCTTTAGCAAAATTGAGTGGCAGCTCAATTTAGTGAAGAAACCGCCAGCTAACCTGGCGGCTACTTAGCTTTCTTTTTTAGGTTTACTAATTTTGGTATGGAATAGGAAATTCATTTTAGATTTTTAGGTAATAAAAATACTAATTTTTTGAGTAAGTTTTTATTGAGAAGAAAACAATTATGTAGTAAGTTTACAGACTTTCGTTATAGAAAATTAGAGTATGTTTAAATTTTTATGTTTGAGCGAAAGTGAGGAAATTTAATTTTGGACAAGATGACTGAATGGTCTCGTCTATGACGAGAATTGAGTAAAATACTTTACTCAATAAAGAAGGAACTGCGAAAGCCACCCATCCAATCAAATGTGAATAGCGTGGGTCGTCTCAAGCATAGCTTGACAGTCTCTTCATGGAATGAGGGTAGCAGGCTTGATTGGTTCCTTTCATTAAATCGTGATTTCTATCACGATTTTGCTTCGCATCATTCAGTCCGGCTCGCAGCAAATACTGCATTTAGTCGGTCAAGACGATTTTTTAAAAAAAAATGTCTTGATCGGGACAGAAACGTCCCGAAAGCTCAAGCGTAGCTTGACGCGGTACGGCGAAAAATATAACGCAGGCCTGCCTTGCCAACAGGCAGGCTAAAATAAAATTTGCTACTTGGAGCCAAATGATAAAAGTTTAAACATACTCTTAAACATACCATTACCAGCTACCGCCGCCACCACCGCCAAAACCACCACCGGAACTACCGCCGCCACTAAAACTTCCACCGCCACCACCTGAGCTGGCGGGCATGCTTGTAAACACACTTTGTATATCTCGTATACCACTGTCAAAGGACGAACCAAATTCAGAGGGAGAAAATGTATTGCCATGATAATACATACCATGGGGTGCTACATACCATTTAGGGGGCTCGAGAAGAAGGCCATCAAATTTTTTACTCCATTGTTTGGCATACCCAAATACCATAGCGTATGGCAATGTCTTTTCAAAATATTCAGGATCTTCTTTTAACAAACGTTCTATTTTGTCTTTTTCTGCTGCTTTGATGAACATCTTAAATCCCAATACCTGTTGATATAAGTGTACACCTCGCTCATTTTTCTTAAGCATATAATTGGCAAAAAACAGACCCACAATACTTGTTAGTCCCAAACCAATCCCTATTGCAAAGGACTGAAAAATGATACCCAAACCTATCCCTGCAAAAGCCAATAAGACTGAAATGATGGCTGTTGTAATTTGCATCTTCATTGACACAGGGTAATAGACTCCCATATTATTGAGATGTGTCTTTAAGGAGAGTTTGGCTGATTGGAGATACTCATAAAAACTGTTTTCAAGACTGCTTATCAGAACGGTGTCATTATCGGCAAATAGACCATCAAATATAATCTTTTCATAAGGTCCCGCATTTTCCGGAAGGTTTTTAATTCTGGAGATCTCATGGTCATCTTTACCCCATTTTACAGGGATACGTTTTATGGTGATATGTCCATTGTGCGCCCAATAAGGCAGAAGTGCCAGTATATCCACATTGTCAGCTTTTTCGTCGATGAGCACACCTGCCTCTGCAGGATTTAAATCCGGAGGCGGTACAAATTGTACCATTCTGACTATGGGATAATCTTTACCATATAGATGCCAGGTACGATAAAACAAACCTGAAATGATCAGAAACAGTATACTACCTATGCCTGCCATACCGTATTTCTCCCAGAGGATTTCTTCTTTGGAAGGCCTTCTGATATATTCTTTGGGCAGTTTGATGGCTAAAGTTAAGCCTTCATTTGGACCATACGGTCGGGTAGAATGGCCTACGAATTTATCCACAAAATACGAAATGGTGGCATCCTGTCCTTTTTCTCCTTCTTTACCTGTATAGATGTAGTAATCATTTTCCGACATGGATGTAGCTTCATCCAGCTTAACGGTATAGTTTATCGTATCGATGGAAACAGGCCAACCTGTACCAATCAGATTCCAATAAAATTCAGTGTGTTCATCAGTAAGTATGAAGGCCTTTTTAACTTTGTAAGATATTTTATACTTTTGAATGCCATCAAGAAAGATATTCTTATCACCAATTTTTATCACATAATTGTTGTTTTCTGTAGAAGTACTGAATTTGTACCCTTCTACATGTACATCAAAAATTTTGATAGACACCTCTTCACCATTGATCCTGTATTTGTAAGGGATATTTCTAAAAATACCTCTTCTTGGCTCATTAAATTCAACAGTGATTTCTTCATTTACTTCAAACAATCCTTGCTTGCCAAGTACCGTTATATCAATGTTATAATCTCTGATAGAAAAATAATCTGCATAGGCATTTTCGGAAAAACACCAAATAGCAAAAATCAATATATAGTTATAAAAGCGCATTGGGGTTTGATTTGACCGAATGTGTGAACAACAAATACGATAAGAAA